ACGCCGATGATAAACCCCCAACGAAATAGTAAGCCTTGTTTTTTCTGCGGTTCTCTTACAAAATTCACTAAATTCTTATTGCCACAAAATAAAATGTTGAACAATCAAAAATATTATTTGCCACTATTAATTTTCACCGAAAAAAAATTCTCTTCACAATACTTTTTCACGACTATTTCTTTTTTTGCCAATAGACAGACAGCCTTCCACAAAACTGTGATTTCTCCCAGAGATTTACTCTATTCACCTTCTTTTTGTATACACTTTTTTGTTTGTTGCCTTTTTCAATTTTTTTTGTCGCTGGCGGAAGAGGGTTTATCACATTCTATTTTATTTGTTTACCCCCTTGAATTTTGATTTTCAAATATTTCACTACACTGCAAAATTTCCAATTGGCATGCAGAAAATCACTTGGGAAAAACTTCTTTTTGTTTGTATTATTTCACTTTTTCTTTTTTGGGTTGTTGTAAACATATACGCGGAAAACCGTCAACTCCGCAACTTCGTTGTCTGACTCTTTTTTTCCAACTGATTCTTTTATTGGTAGTTGTGTACGTCAATTGGGTGGAAATTGTGATAACCGATTACTCGTTCATGCCCATCACATGACAGTGTTGTATTTTAATGGTATAACATATATTAAGGATTGTTCACATGTAATGAAATGGGAATTGTTATCAAAGACATAAAAGTATAAAGATAGGACAATTGAATTTCCAAGTTGGCCGTTAGATGGCTTTTGCTCTGTTGTTACGATATCGTAACAACATTTTCTGTTAATTACAAAGAGAACATGTTTTACTCTCTTTTTACTCTGTATACACATGTGGTGTTGGGTGATTATTGTAAACTCCCGATGCAATGAAAACACAATGTAAATAGTGAAAGACCGCGAAAAAGCATTACTACTTATTTCAATGAACTTAATAAAAATCTGGATACTATGAAGAGACCTTGAAAAAGTCCTTCCACCTGTCTGTCCGTCTGTTGGTGTTAAATTGTAAACAAAGTACAGGTCACATTTATGATCCGATTTGGATGAAATTTGGCTCACTTATTTGGCCCAAGGACGAACCCTATTGAAATTGAAGAGAATCGGTTCAGATTTAGATATAGCTCCCGTATACGTTTTAGTCATATTTTATGTAAATGGTGTACCAATGTCTTTATATATCTTTCGATTTGCACGAAATTTGTCACAGCCGCATGAATTTAGTCTAGAATGATGTGTGCTAAGTTTCGTGAAAATCGGTTCAGATTTCGATATAGCTCCCATATATAGTTTTGTCAGGTTTTATGTAAAAGGCCCCCCATTCTCGGTGTCAATTTTTTTTTTTTATTTAATTGGAATCTGCTCTTGGAGATCTAGCCGATTTATTGTGTCAGCATCAAGTGACAGCAAGAGTGATTCTCAAACATTTTTAACGCATTTTTCTGGAAGCAGTGTTTTGCGAATGGCGGGCACGATAACTCATAAACTAATAATCCAATCGGTTCCAACTTTTGACACGTTTCTCTGGGAGTGTATAGCTATCGTATGAACTAGGATAAAGCCAATCGGTGAACAAGTTTGAAGTGACGGAGGATATTTTAGGCATAACTAAAAAAGAAAGATTGAAAACCAATGAGCCGAGCAGTATAGTCGGACGGGGCCGACCATATGATACCCTACACAACTTCAACGAAAATTTGAATTCCTGTAGTTCTATATTCTGGGCTCGAGCAATATTTTGCAATATTTGCACCCTCTTGACCGACTAGAGGTTCACAATTATTACAAATATTCAGTACAGCCCTTCTAATTGCTTGTCCAAATTCCCTTCACCGTGGGATGTGCTGTGATGTTCAGCTTCGCTCCACTTCATCCCAATATTATTATCTGATTATCACCGAAAATTATAGACGTTGTCCTTGACCATAACTGCAAACTCATGGAACATTTTAAAGCGATCAACGTTATATTTCCGCCCTCCAGTGTGGTAATGGTTTACTAAATAATATTTGAATACCTAAACACCTGTTAATATTTAAGTGTAACTCCCGCATCCGAGTACATACGACAATATAATTGATATCAATTTTAATGTCAACCACAGCTCTTGGATATACCCTGACAACATACTTGTGTAGGCAATGAAAGCATTGTTGTTTTTGTATTCACGGGTCATTATTTGAATCCGCATCATAATTTTGAGGCATTCACATCAGCAGGAAATAAATATATTGCAAAAAAATTAAAAATTTATAAACAATTTATAAAATTTGGAAAACTTTCTTCAGTTCAAACATTAGAGCCCAATCAGCCTTAATTAAATCATCACGGAAGTAATCCTTGCAAGCATCGAGACCTTGACCAACATATCATCAGCTTCAAAATGACGGCCAAACATTTTTGGTGATTCACCGGGTATGGATTCAATTTTTACCCAAATCTCTTGACCTTTGCGAGCCGATTCCAATTGTTTGTGATTTGATTTGATTGAGGTGACAATGCCAATATATCGACAAACTCCTTGCTAGGCACACAAATCGGTGTACCAACTTTCACAATACCATTTTCGACCATTAAATCCATGACAATGGGGTCATGACTGTTAAAGATGAACTGTGGCAGGGGAAGACGTCAATTGATTTAAATTCTTCAAAAAAAGCACGAAAAAATAATAATAATAATTTCATTTCATACAATCTCAAACATCACTTTTGTTACCATATTTTTCAAAATAATTAACATTGCTGTTAAGTATTTTTTGGTGAGAGAACTTCAAAAAGTGAATTTTCCATTAAAATGTGTAGCCCTCTATAACACAAATTTGACACTAATATTGGAAAATGCGTCTTGTCAAGTCTTTACGATTGTACGTCTTTGCCTTTGCTATCATTAGGAAACACCAAATCACGTTTTTCTGACATATTTGAATTTGTCTTCTACGAATCGTTTTTATTTGCAAAATGCCCTGTTCCTATTTCTCATCTAATCTTTTGAGCAGACTAATTGACGTGTACTATGAAGAAAATCAATTTAAATGTAATTTAAACTTTTTAATAACTTCTGTAAACGTGCTGTTAGTAACTGTACAATGAGAACCTCCCTTATACTTCTCTCTCACACTCTGACAGTTATCTCACAAACGAACGCCATCTACAAAGCTGCTGTCAACAAACAATTAATAACTGTCGATTGACATAACCCTAAGTCTTTGTGTGTGTGCGAGAGAAGAGATACAGGCAATAAATAGAAAAATATACAATTTTTTGCAAACAATATAAGTCGCAAATAAAAACAAGGAAAAATATTGGTGAAATAAAGACAATTTATTGCAATTGATAAGTAAATTGACAAATAACAGAACACACAAACACTTGCATTTAACAATGTCCGATAATGAAAAGAATATTCCTGAAGGTTGGGAAGTACGCACAAGTCGTTCTACCGGTAAGTGTACGGAAAGAAAAAAATAACCCTCATGAGTTTTTTTCGCGTGAGTGGTGCAGCTTGCTTGCTGCTGCACAACCCTTTTGCAATAGGACATTTGGAGGAAATGTATTTTGTTGATGATTTTTTTGGAAAATATATTTTTAAATGGCTGTAATGGAATTTGAAATTTAATAAGGGACTCCACTCGGATCGCTTAAAGTGAAAACACGAGAATTCATGCCCGGCATGCTATGTTTATGTTTTTTAGGGAAAGTTTTCGTTATAAGTTTTAAAATGAGTTTCAAAATGCCGTTTTAACCAAGATTTGTTCCGAACATTCAAGGTCCATATCTCGGGAATTATGCATTTCCCCCACATAAAATATACATCATTGTAATCAGCTCAACGAGGTCTACTTACGGTTTCAAAGCGATCCGAGTGGAGCCCCTAAACTTGACTTAAGCGGAAACAAATAATCGAAGCCTGACAGTCATCCTTTGTCAACATTAGTGGAATGAGAGGTCCAAACATTGTCACTGCCTCCTCTACTTTGTCCTCATCCATTTCCTTAACATATTCCAACATAATGGCATGTACCTATAAATTATCCACCAATTGTTTATTGGAAACATGTTCCAAATTTGCCTTGACATGATCCAAAATCGTATTCGATACACTGTGGTAAACACTTTGTCTCCTCCTCCCAGAATTATATTTTTATTTAGAGCATCATTTTACTTCTTAAAATTGCTAATCATTCCATCCTCGATTTCAGGCCTAACATACTATCTAAACATTTACACCAAGGAATCACAATGGGATTTACCAACCGAACCGGCCAAAAAAGAAGTATCTTCCAGTGGACCCAGCGAGGTGCGTTGCTCCCATTTGTTGGTCAAGCACAAGGGCAGTCGTCGCCCATCGTCGTGGCGTGAAGAGAATATTACACGCACCAAAGAAGAGGCCCGTCAACTGCTCGAGGATTATCGCAAACAAATCGAAAATGGTTCTGCCACTCTGGATGAATTGGCTCAAAAATACTCCGATTGTAGTTCAGCCAAACGTGGTGGTGATTTGGGTATGTTTGGCCGTGGCCAAATGCAAAAACCCTTCGAAGAGGCTGCATTTAGCTTGAAGGTGGGACAATTATCGAAAATTGTCGATACAGATTCGGGTTTGCATATTATTTTACGCACAGAATAGATTTAAGAGAAAGAAAATTACAATTTAGAAGCCAAAAGCAGCAGCATATTGAATTATGCCAACAACGTGTGTGTGAGAGAGACAAACCAAAACAGCTCCTAATTTTTTGCATTTTCATTTGTTTTATTTTTGAAAAAGAAACATATTAAAACTAAAAGAAAACTAACTACTTATATAAAGGGAAAACACACAAGTTTTCCAATCATGAAAAAATACACTTTTGTTAAATAAAGAAATACGTTTCTTAATTTTTTGTATGTATTATTATTTTTTTTAGTAGTAGTAACATAAACTTGGAATTTTTAAAACTAATAAAAAAAACTTTATTTAATTACAAAAATATACGTTTTTTTTAAATATTGTATTAAAGATCTAGAAATTAATTCAATTTTTTCCATAGCAACTGGGCACCATTGAATTTTTGTTTTTTCAATGCAGCCATGTGGGGTTTCAGCAAGGTTTTCATTTGTTTTTGTACATCGGTGGAATTGTTTTCGAAAATATTTAGCAAAATGAAACAGGCACGATTTATATTTAACCAGGCCTTGAGTGTGTCTTCGTTGAGTTCTTGTATCAGCAGACTGCCGAAAGTTGTCGCTTCGGCATTTGCTGTCAAACGTTCCTTATCGTTTTTAATGATTTTCTTGAGCACAATATGGAGACCGGCTTCCTCAATACCCAAAACATTAACTGTGGCAGTTGGCTGGAAAGGAAAACAAAAAGAAAATACATTCGGTTAAAAATGTGTGTTTGAGAAAATCCAGGTTTGTCCACTACTCTTCTTTTTGAAAATTGCATATCATTTTGGTTCTAAGATTTATAAAGGTCAGCTAAGACAAGAATTCAAGAATTCGGCGATCATCAACCAGACTGATTAGGCCAATTTCTACGTGTGTGGTCCGCCAATCAGCAAAATTTCCATATGAGGCCCACAAAGTTATTCTCGAGAAGGCTTTCTATCTTCTGTTTGGTTTGGTTTTTAATCCGACAAAATTTTTTTGGGTCTTACTTTTTGGAGGTTGGTAATTTTTATACCCTTCACCACACTGCGGTACAGGGTATTATGTCTTTATGCATATGTTTGTAACAGGCAAAATGAATCGAGATTTGAGAATATGCATAGAATCACTTTCTGAGTCGATATATGCATGTCAGTCCGTAAATGTATTTTTGTGAACAAAGTACAGGTCGCATTTATGATCCGATTTGGATGAAATTTAGCACATTTCACTTATTTGGCCCAAGGACGAACCCTATTGAAATTGGAAAAAATCCGTTCAGATTTAGATATAGCTTTCATATACAGTTTCGTCCGATTTTATGTGAATGATACACCAAACTCCCAATATTTGTCCAATTGGAACAAAATTCTGCACAGCGCACTGAATCAGGTCCATACTTATGTATGCGAAGTTTTGTTGCAATCGGTTCAGATTTAGATATAGCTCCCATATATATTTCCGTCCGATTTTTTGTGAATGATACATCAAACTCCCAATATTTGTCCGATTGGGACATTATTTTGCACAGAATACTGAAGTGGGTCCAGATTGATGTTTGTGAAGTTTTGTTAAAATCGGTTCAGATTTAGATATAGCTCCCATATATATTTCCGTCCGATTTTTTTTAAATGATGCACCAAACTCCCAATATTTGTCCGATTGGGACAAAATTCTGCGCAGAGTACTGAATTTGGTCCAGACTCATGTATGCGAAGTTTTGTTAAAAAAATTTCCGAATCTTGCCATCTTCTGAAAACGTAATCGATATTGTCGGCCGAGATCTGGTGACTATGTCGTTTGGGGCCAAATGAAAAAATAGCCCAGCGTCGATTCAAGACCTTAAACGTAGTGTTCGTTAGGCTATCGAGGACTGTCACTTTGAGGACAGCTGCTGCTGGTGGTCATTTGACGTCCATTATTTTGGGCATACCTTAGTGATTAATTTGTAATTACCATTCGTTTAATTTGTAATAAACATTTACATTTTTCTTGGAGTACAACAACACCTCATACTGAAAAATATGTTATGGTCGATATTCTGATCTAGGAGATCAATATGGAATCTTCTTCAATAGATCACCTTCTCTTCTATTAAGGAATACCATATTATATTGTATACAAGAAGACCTCCTGGAAGCAGGCCACCGTTTTTTTCATCCTTGTATAAATCAGATATTCTGGTATTACTTAGAGAAAGAAGACATTAGGTCGTCGTCCATAGAAGTCCTCTTTTCTTTCGTTCTCTACAAAAGAGGTCTTCATTATCGTACTACAAAGTTAACCTTATTGTCTTCTTATACAAAAGAAGAAAAAACCTTCTGTGTTCTTTAGAGGAGGAAGTCTTTATAGGATTCTGCAGAATAAGACCCCATTGTATTCATGTACATAAAGTAATCTTTTTTGTTTTCTTTTAAAGAAAAATACCTCCATACAGATCACCACCATATCGTATAGAAAACCATCTCAGCCATTTTCTGCTACGCAAGGTCAGATTTTAATTATTTCTTCTATGAATTTACTGTTGTTTCCGTCGTAAGGAGAGTCCCTTATTGGCATCTTCTAATGAGGGAGAGTCTCTTTTTTAAGAACAATGTATTCATCCACCCAAGATCAATATTTTCACTTCTTCCATGGAAGCACCCCTTCTTGGCTTCTTCTAATAAGGGGCAGTCTCTTTTTTAGAATAATACATTCTTCTATCCAAGATGAATATTTTATTTATTTATTTATTTATTATTTCATTTTGTAACAATAAAGCCTAATAAGGCCAAACTAAATATGTTACATTCTAAAAATGTACGCCTAAAATAAATTTCCATTCATATAATTAAACATTTTCAAATATCATAAAAATTTCATTATAATTATGCAATACTGTTTTGGTTCCCCAACCAAAAATATTAAATATTGAAACAAAATAAAAAAGCCCAAATTTAGCAATAACATAGTGCAAAAATTCATTAACTTCAAATAAAATAGCATATATAGATATGGGGGTATAAGTATACATCAAGTGTTTAAGAAGTAATCATTCATTTTTCTTCGAAACACATTGTTAGAGTGTGAAAAAATACGTAATTCCAATGGAAGCTGATTCCAACTCCTGGCAACACGAACCAAAAATGATCTCTCAAATATAGAACAAGATATCCTCGGAATAACCAAATTTGGGTTTCTCGTTGACCGAGAAAAGGTAAAAGACTGTCGAAATGAATAAGGAATTCCCCTTTTGACCATATTGTAAAAAAACTGCAAGTTACATCTGTCAACATAAGACATAAATGGAACTCCCAAAAATTGCTGAGTATGTTCAGAAATGTGATGCCGTCTACCCAAGTTGAAAACAAAACGAACTATGGTGTTTACTAACCTCTTCAGTCTCTGCATATTACAAGATCGAGTTCCTGAAATAATTTCTAAGCCATACCGTATATTTGGCATCAATAGAGCATGTGCTAACCTTATTTTAACCCAACGTGGAAAGTACACACTACAAGAATAAATTTTACGTAGAGTACCATAAACTTTGGAGTGTATGTGGTTAATATGCACACCAAAATCCAAATTTTTGTCAACATGAACACCCAAGCACACATGACTGCTCACAAATTCAATCGTATGTTGGCCCAAAACAATGCTAAGATTAAATTGAGAACCTCCAAACAAAATGGCTTTAGATTTTGACGGGTTAATCAAAAAGGAATTTCTATTTGCCCAATCAAATGTTCTTTCTAAAGAAGAATTTATTTTTGCTTCTAAAACATCAGGACTGTCCTGTTGTGCATTAAAAAGAAGAAATATGTCATCCGCGAAAAAGAATGGAGTACAGATATCGGAGTCTAAATACTGCGAAAGATCATTTAGATATAAAATAAATAGGAGGGGTCCAAGGACAGATCCCTGTGGGACACCAGATTTCAAAGAAGCAATATTAGATCTTACACCATTGATTTCAACAAACTGAGACCTATCTGTCAAGTATGAAAGTACCAAACGACATGCAGACTTTGAAAAATTGAATTGTGTATGCAGCTTATTTTCACTTCTCCTATGGGAGCTTATTTTAAGATCTTCTTGTTTTCTTTTAATTGTACATTATTTATATTCCCTGCTGGCACATACCTCTTCCTTCTCTTCCTCATCCGAATCATCATCAGCTTCCTTATCATCATCCTCGGCATTCTGGGCATCCCCATCCTCCTCTTTAGCCGCCAATTTTTGAGCCTGCTTACGTTGTTTGGTTTTTTGTTTTGTTGCCTCGGCAATAATTTTTTCAACATCTTGGGGTTTCTTTTTCTGTTTCTCTTTTGTCGTTTCATCTTCTACGCTAACACTCCAATCGGGCTTGGCAATGACTTTGGTCAATGCCGAGGCGGCAGTTACAAAGTGATCACCCGTCACTAAAAGAAAAATATTTTGATATTGAATCTTCTCATAAATGTTTTGTACTACTCACACTTAATCAAAATCTCTGCAGTGACCAAACCAATATGTTTATCCGATAACCAAAATTCTGGATTTTCAGCAATGGACGTGGCAATCGGTTCTTCAATTTGCTCGAAAATTTCTTTACGTCTGACATCCTTATCTTTTTTACCATATTGTAGACCCTCTTCAATGGTGGCAATAAATGTGGGATGGAAACAGTTGGTGCCACCGGGCGATATAAGCCACTCAATGACACGGCGGCCCCATTGGTTGGCCATGAGAGTTTGTAACTCAGGATGTATTGTATCGTAGATTGCCTTTTTGGTTGCCTTGGTGTCATCCAAACTGTTCAGCAGAGCAATGGTAAACAAATGGCCATGTTCATGGGTACAAATTTTCACCAAGTGTTCCTTAATGGTCTTAATAATGGCCTGCAAAAGAATATATAACATAAATACATTTAAATATTAGGAAAGCAATTAACAACACTCACTCTTCTATTCTTTGGTGTAGATTTATAGAAACAAATAATCGATGCCTGACAGCCATCCTTTGTGGTCAACATCAGTGGGATGAGGGGACCAAACATTGTCACTGTCTCCTCCACTTTGTCCTCATCCATTTCCTTAACATATTCCAACATAATGGCATGTACCAATGAATTATCCACCAATTGTTTATTAGAAACATGTTCCAAATTTGCCTTGACCGCACTCAAAATTGATGCCTTCATGGTGGGCGTATCTTTGTAACAATCTGCCAAGGTGTTAACTTTATCATCTTTACCCTTTTTATACAAATCACCATAGAATTCCTGACGCAAGTAGGCCTTCTGTTTGGCACTGGCCACACTCAAATAGACATGATCCAAAATCTTACTCGATACACTGTGGCAAGCCAATTTTACAACATGACCATAGAATGCATCAACCAATTTACTCTTGGTCACTGGGGAACCATATTTGAACATACGCAGTACACAAAAGTGGGCATATTTCGAAATGGACATTTCCACAGCCAAGGGCATGAGGCGCTCCGACAGTTGTTCTCTTACCGAAGGTGAGGCAAACTTTAGCATACACTGTATAACACGAGCCGTGTCGTGAGCCATTACCACTTTCTTAATGGTATCGCCTGTATTAAATAGATTATATAGTTTCTCAACTAATTCGGCTTTCTTTTCAGTCTTGCGGCATTTGAGTTTCTCATAGATCTGTTTAGCTTCAATGGAGATTTCATAGGTGTCTTTGCCTTGTTTACGTTTCAATTTCAAGTCTTTCTTTTCCTGTTTGAATTTATTCCAATCTGTTTTCTCCGGCTTGGCATCTCCGCCACCAGCTCCTCCATCGCCCTCAGGTTTTCCAAATTTGGGTTTACCAGCAAATTTGTTATTTGGATTTTTGGCAAATTTGTTATTGGGGTTACCAGCAAATTTATTGCCCGGTTTACCAGCAAATTTGTTACCAGGTTTGCCAGTAAACTTTCCTGGTGCTTTACCTTTATCTCCAGGTTTTCCAGCACCACCACCACTGGGTTTAGTTGGTTTACTGAACTTGGCTGTTTTCTCTTTTTTTACATGATTATCTTTGTCTACCTTTGCGAATTTCTTCTTTTGTGGCTCTTCGCCAGCAATGGTCTTTTCTGCTTCACGTTTTTTACCCTTAATCATTGTGAATTTTTATAAGTTTTATTTAATTCAGAAGTTTTAAATTTAAAATATCTCTTCAACTGGTCACACGTGTTTTACCAGTACTGAGCAGAATGCAGCAAGTTTTGTTTTCATTTGAAATGTCAAAAAACAAAACAGAGTTGCCGTTACTTATGATTTGTGTGGCAACTTTCTCTATGAGAGAAAATTGTGGGTGGGATCACACTGGTAGTTATTTCTGTTTTAAATTAAAAGAAACATATTGGAGGAATCAGGCTTGGCTTGTATGAAATGTCAATTTATAAAGGATCAGAGACAAATTTGATTTCCATCAAAGAAGTGTACTTTTTTAATTCAGACTTCTCAATAAAAATTTATAGTTGTTCCCATTGTACAATATTACAAGGTAGGACAACTTCAGGTGAATATTTCTCCAAATTCAGTAGGGAATACCATCAAATGTTTGTGTCATCCATAACAAAGTAATTACTTCCAGACGAACATGTTAAAAACATAATTTTCATTTCAATTAAATTTGAATATATTTCAATTTATTTTGAATTTATTTGACATAGTGTTCAAAACAATACACACACATACACAAAATATGTATTTTGATTGGATGGGACAAGCCACCTTGAGAATAAATTGTAATCAGTTGGTAGCTGTGCCCTACCTTGTAATAATTATACCATGATTATACCATGATTGTTCCTGTCAGAATGGTTTCAAGTTATTGAAACATCTTCTGGCGACAAAAAATTCTACCGGATAATAAAGAAGTTATTGGGAGCCATTCGAGATCTTTGTCGAACAAAAAGGCACTGTTCTAAGCCTTCTGTTTTTCGTTGTTAGAATTTATCCGAACAAAAATTGTGGAAAAATTTTCCCCATCTGCTGAAGACAAAAACTAGTCTTATTGGAAAATATTTTATGGTCGATATTCTGATTATCTTCTTTTTCAGAAGACTAATATGTATTCCTCATCAATAGATCGCCTTCTCTTGTCCTGGAAGCAGATCAACGTTTTTTTCTACCATTGTAAAAATCAGATATTCTGGAATTCCTTAGATTCCTTGGTCGTTGTCCATAGAAATCCTTTTTATTTTTCCCCCACATGATTTTCTTTCCCTACAAAAGAGGTCCTCATTGTCATACTACAAAGTAAAAGTAATTATTTCCAGAAAAGTGCGGTAGAAATCATTTCAATTTTTGTGCAGAAATTTTAAGATCACTCTATAGGTTGCCAACAAGATTTTTTTATAAGCTCCCAAACGGTCAGTAACTTGAGAAAATGTAGCACAAGTATCAATGTTTTCACTTTGGTGTTACAACAATGAGTCCGCTTTAATTTTGTACCCTGTAAAAAGCGAAAGCCATACATATAGAACATTTGTTTAATAGTTTATACCACACCTTCAAAATATTTGTGCAGAATGACATGTCAAGCGTTTCTTCTGAGTTGTCATTTCCATATTCTCTTTGTTTTATAAGCATGTTCCTACGGTTCCATCAATTGTAATAGAATAAAAAGTGTACACGTAGCACCGTCTGAGCTTAATTTACATGAAATCGATTAAAAAATAAAAAAAATGTGGCCCACGTATCAAAATTGTCACTTATGTGTCACAATGATCACTCATTTTTCGTTTTGTACCACGTAAAAAGCGTAAAAGCGAAAATCAAACAAATGACTTACTTGTTTAATAGTTTATACCACGCTTCAATATAACTGTCTACAGTGGCGAGTTGCCATTTCATTATACTACTCTACTTTATAAGGATGTTCACACAGTCCCATCAATTGTAATAGAATAGAAAGAGACAAAACTATATATACACCACAACTCAATAATCTTCTTCTTCATGTTTTGCTCTTTTTCGATTTAACGTCAATTTATTATTATACCGATTGTGATGACATTAAAGACGCCGACATAGAATTTATTTGGTGAAAAAGAAATTAATAAAATTAAACACTTTTAATACTTTATGTTGGTATTCGTTAGCAAAGCCAACAAATACGTTTGGCCGGGTCTATTTTAAAGGCGATAAATAATTAACTAAGTAACGCGTACTTGAGTTATCGTGTAAAGAAAACGGCGGCAAAAAACACAGAACAAACCCAACAATCTCCTCCAAATAAATATTTTCGGTGTGTACATTTATACTTGAAGTGACTTGAGAGTGATAAGTCTTCGTTGTCGATTTAGCCAAAATGGTGGGTAAACATATGCACAAGAAAAAAATGTCCGAATATACGGAAAATGAGGACTACAAAAGTGATGCGGACGGTGGCGATGATGATGTGGGAGATAAAGAGTACCGGGTCAGTGGCAGCGATGGCTCGGAAAATGGCGATGCAGCCAAAAATGATGTTGGTGGTAAAACGAATGAACGCGATGACGACGAAGAGACTACACTGGGCGAAGATGATGATCTTGCCCAGGGTTTGAACAGTTATTCACATGGCGATGGAGATGATGGTGGCAGCCCGGCCGAGGACAACGATGATGATGAAGATTATGGTGCCGATAACGCCAAAAAGTCCAAGAAACGTAAAACCGCTGGTGCCAAAAAATCACTGGACACCAATGAAAGTGATGATGAGGCGCTAAATGGTGTTTCGCCGAAAAAGAAGGGACGCAAATCCGGCAAAGCTGGTGGTGCTGCTGCTAAAACTCCGGCCAAAGGAAAAGCTAAAGCCAAGAAGGCTGCACCCGTTGATGACGAAGAAGAAGATGATGGTGGCGAGGAGGAGGAATATGAAGTCAAAGATATTGTTGGACACAAAACAGAACGTGGTGTTTCATATTTCCTGATAAGATGGAAGGGCTACACCAAGGCCGATGATACTTGGGAAGCTGAAGATAGTCTTAATTGTCCGGATATAATCGAGAAGTATAAGAAAAAGGTAAGTGGCTATGGAAGATGAGATATGTTTTATTTTAAATCGAATGGAAAAATCATATGGGTACAGTTGCCACCAAATTATTTGATATGTGTGAAAAAATGTAAATAGGGTTGCCATGCCACTGTCTATTGTTAATGTTGCGGGGAATTTTTTGTATTGCCGGTCATTTTCTACAAGGGAGAAAAATGTGTGAGTGTGTGTGTACGTGCTTGTTATTTGTTTACATTTGCCATGTAATTGAAGTTGAGTTCAACTTCTTGGTTTGTTGCACTTAGCTGTATCATATTGTAGTGTATGTATGTATATTGGGTTTAAAATGTTTATAATAGTTAAGGCGACCAGATTTTGAAAATGAAAATAGATGACAAAACGAAAAAAGTATATTTTCATAAAAATAATACTCTTGGAATCTTTAAGGAACATAGCAAAGAAGTAGACCTATGTCGACTATGTTTTCGAAGGATATTTTGCAAACAAGGAAATCCACTTAAGAAGGCAAAATTTTGTAAAATTAAAAAAAAGAGATGGGTTTTCAATCCTATGGAAAAGCTATTAATAGCTTCTGGGGAGAATATCCCAACAAAAAACTAAGGGAACTGATGAGGATCAGTGGCGAGATCCGAAACTATAGTCTTCCCTGCCTTACCCCTCGGCGGACAATGCCATACATTCCCCACTAATAAATAGTTGTTTTTTATAAAAACAACAAACTGGGATTAAGCCTGACTATTTTGCAAAAACAAAATACAAATGGTATCCCAAATAACCCGCCAACACTACTGAAGTTTTCAGAAACCCTAAAAACATTTTTTATGGAATCAACAGATAATTCGTTTGGAAGATGTGTCTAAAAATACTGAAAATACATTTTCTAAATATTTCATTAAGATTTCATTAAGTTAATTAATTTGTTTTAATTACAAAAATAAATAATGATGAGACATAATTCAGTACGCTATGCAAAAGTTCGTGCAAATTGAAAGATTTTCAGGGACTTTGGTGCAAAATTTACCTGAAATCGGACGAAAATATATGGGAGCTATATCTAAATCTGAATCGACTCAGAAAGTGTTTCTAAGCATATTCTCAAAATGAAACATTGGTCTATCTCGATTCCTTTTGCCTGTTACAAACATATGCACGAAGACATAATACCCTGTACCACAGTAATAAAACAAGGTGACCATACGTCCTCTTTTTTAGAGGACAATCATCAATTTAAACTGTCTGTCATCTATACAATTTGTGTCCTCTATCTTTATAATCTGTCATCTTTGTCATCATCTATATTTTTAAAACCTTGATCATTATTTATTTTTGTAATAGCTCCCATATATAGTTTCGCCCGATTTTAGGTAAATGGTGCTCCAAAGTCCCTGAAAATCATTAGATTTTCACGAATTTTATTGAGTTTAGAATGATGTGTGCAAAGTTTCGTAAAAATCGGTTCAGATTTAGATATAGCTCTCCCATATATAGTTTCGCCCGATTTTAGGTAAAAGGTGCACAAAAGTCCCTGCAAATCTTTTGATTTGCACCAAATTTGGCATAGCGTACTGAATCAAGTCTAGAATAATGTGTGCAAAGTTTCGAAAAATCGGTTCAGATATAGATATAGCTCCCATATATATTTTAGTCCGATTTAAGGTAAATGGGGCACCAAAGTCCCTATATATCTTTCGATTCGCACGAAAATCGGTTCAGATTTAGATATAGCTCCCATATATAGTTTTGTCCGATTTTAAGTAGTTTAGATATAGATAAATCTAAAAATATCTAGAATATACCCAAAGTGGTGAAGGGTATCATATAGTCGGCCCAGTCCCTCTTTACTACTTACTGGTTTTAATTTTGAAAAACTAATGAAGCTCTAAGTTGAAATAAATAAAAGGGTATTACGTTCATTTAAATTTCGTTCACCTATAAGGTGAACTAAAATCTAATAAAAATCTATATTCCCCGAGATCCGAAAATAAAAAAAAAAAATGATAATGGGATATGAACATCGTAAGTTATAGCTGTACTGGAAAATGTCATTAAAAATATGTGTCAATATAACTATGTTGGAGAATATAAAAAATTTGTTCCGTTCGAACTTAATTTAAATCTAGGAATTCTATTAAGATTTTCAAACCAAAGCTATTTATAATAATTAAAAATAAAAAAATTAAATATATTTACCTTTACAATTTCAGCAAGCTGCTGCCACCTCACCGAAAAAAGGTGCAACGCCCGCCTCGAAAAAAGGTAAAAAAGGTGCTGCTGTCGCTTCCGCCGCCAAAGGCAATAAAAATGCCAAAAAACAAAATGATGCCGATGAAGATGATGACGAGGAACAAGAATGGGAAGTCGAGAAAATTATCGATTATGCTGAAGAGAAAAAGGGCCGCGTATTCCGTATACGCTGGAAAGGTTTCGGTCCCAAACATGACACCTGGGAGCCAGAAGCAAATCTTAATTGCAAAGACATTATCGATAAATTTATGAAACGTATGAAATCGGAAGAGAATGTCTCCTTTAAAGAGCTACGTGAAGAACCGAAAAAGACTAAACGTTTGGTAAATGAGACAGCACCACGTACCAATATACACAATCCGATTGGGCGTAAATCGAAACGTGGTGGCAACAAGCAAAGGTAAGGTAAATATTTTTGCTAGTCCCCTCGATCACAAGTGGTTCCGAAATTTTTCTAATGGCAATATTTTGTTTCTCTTTGCCTTTTGTTTTATTTATAGAGTTTACTATGGCGAGGATGATTAAAAACATTAACGTTTTTTGAATTGAAGAAACTCGCAACAAAACAAATAATCACTTCAACAAAAAAACAAACAACAACCAATTTTTTTAAACATCATCCGTTTTGATTTGATTATCGATTTTTTTATAATTTATTATATTTTCTCTTTGTGTGTTGGTGTGTGTATGTATGTTTTTAGGTGTAACAAAAATATTAGGATTTTTACGTTTTCTTTTTTCAAATGAGAAAGTTATACAAACATTTTAGTTGTATCTTCCATAGATATGGCACATCATTTTCAAGTGGTTCGAATATTCGAAAAACACACATTCCAAAAAGGTCTTTAGAAAATGTTCAGTAATTTCATATATTCATACGTATAAGTTTGGAAATTACAAGAATTTCTTAAGGGAAATTCCCTCTTATAAAGTATTTGGAATTTTTGGCGTATAAAAAATATATTATAAAATTTGCATCACTTCAAAAATTATCGAATTTAAATTACAGTTAAAATTAAATAACATTTGAAAATGGTGTAATCATGTAATCATAATTAAGTCCTACATTTATCTGCAAATCTCAATTCACAATCATCATCACGTAGAAAGTGAAATTACCTTTTTTAAAAAAAAACCCACTTTTAACTTTCTCCCTAAAAACATCAAAATTTTGATATTTTTTTATCATTCCTTTTTATTAATTTTTTTGAACAGAAAGAAATTTACAATCATTATTATTATTACTCGTCTTTATAAATAGCAAACCATTGTTTGGTATATTTTAAATATTTAATATTTAAAACCAAACAAATCCCAAATGAGAATACAAAATAATGTACCTATTTAAAGGTATGACAAAACAAAAATAATAATCCCACTCAAATTACAAATACAAAATTCGTATAAAACAAATATTTAACACATGAAAAAAAAATAAATTTTAAAACAAATATTATAATATTATATATATAACAACTCTGATGTCTAGATTAAAAAAAAAATGAAAAAAAAACACACACACAAGAAAAACAAAAAAAGAAGAATGAACGTAAAAACGTAACGAAAAAAAAAACAATAAGAAAATATGTTTTAATAAAAACAAAAATTAATGAAATTAGTATTTTTTTACAAAAATAATATTAAGATAGGTGGCAAATTTGCAAAAAAAAAAAAAAAAAAAAAATCTCCAACAAATTTAGAGAATATTAGTTAGTTATCAAGATAGGTGTCGTTAAAATTGCAAAATTGTCTAATATAAATTTAGAGAATATTATTTTTTTTTGCGAAAACTTTAAAAGACTTTGCAGCAGTTTTTTTATTTGGCCCAGGTATACAGAGAATGACTATAATGCTATTACAGCCTTATATATTTTCATATATTTTTATTGTATTTTTAATTGTTATTTATTGCTCCTTAAAAGAGCTAGGTTAGAACTCTTAATGGCTGTATATACATATTTGATCATTGTAAAGTTATAATTATGATCATGAGGCTATAGCCAACAAATAAGGGGTTTGTAACATGGTGGAGAATTTCGAATTGTCAAAAACCTCAACAACAAGAGATTGCTTTATTATTAAACCTACGTACTATTGTCTACTCAATTTTTCTATTGGGCTTCCCAATATACGCAACTTGTGGACGCATCCAACATTGGTCCCCTTTCTTGTCATTTTTATACCCTTCACCACACTGTGGTACAGAGTATTATGTCTTTGTGCATATGTTTGTAACAGGCAAAAGGAAACGAGATAGACACATGGTGCATAGAATCACTTTCTGAGTCAATTTTTGCATGTCCGTCGTCCGTCTGTAGATTTAAATTGTAAATAAAGTACAGGTCGCATTTATGATCCGATTTGGATGAAATTTGGCACAAGTCACTTTTTGGGCCCAATGACGAATTAGATATAGCTCACATACATATTTATGTCCGATTTAATGTAAATGGTGCACCAAAGTCCCTATATATCTTTCGATTTCAATGAAATTTGACATAGCGCACTGAATAAAGCCTAGAATGATGTGTGTTATGTTTCCATGAAAATCTGGTGAGAATTAGATACAGCCCCGATTTAAGGTAAATGTGGCACCAAAGTCCCTATATATCTCTCGATTTGCATGAATTAAGTCTAGAATTATGTGTGTTAAATTTCGAGAAAGACGGGTCTGATTTAGATATAGCTCCCATATATATTTACGTCCGATATAAGGTAAATGGTGCACCAATGTCCCTGTATATCTCTCGATTTGCACTAAATTTGGCATACCGTACTGAATTGAGCCTAAAATGATGTGTGTTAAGTTTCATGAAAATCGGTTCAGATTTAGATATAGGTCCCATATATATATTCGTCCGATTTCAAATTTTTCATATAGTAGGGGAGAGGGGGGCACCTTTGAACGTGGGGCACCTTTGAACAGCGCTCATAAAATCTTGGTTTAATATTTTTCCGACCCGCAACCACATTTTTGTATATGGCAATCTTGTTCTCTATATGCGTAAACCACTTTGACTTGATTTTTCACTTGTCGAAAAATTGTGCATGGGTGACCATGTTTTCTCAGTGTCATTGTAAACTTTTATTCATTTGGTTGTAAGGGCGCAGGAAGAATTCTGTGATTATTTTCTTTCGCCAAGCAAATTTTTTGCATTCCAACAATCATTTCAAACATAACTAATGTAATTTCTTTCATATATATTTATTACAAAAAAAGTTATTTTAAATTTCCGTAAAATGCCATGGGTGGGGCACCTTTGAACATGCCCATTAAACTCGAGTAAAAAAAGGATTTTTTAACTTTTCGCTTCGATTTATCAAAATTTCAAATGGGCTAATAAGATTACGAAATTAACTGTATTTTTCACCATATTAATTTTTGTTTTTAAGACATTTTATGTTTTAATAACTTTTGATCTAAATTTTTTAAATTTTGAACATTTTTTATATATTTTTTAATGAATTAATGCATTTTTTGATATGTATGAATAAAATACATACATATTTGAACATAAACACTGTAAAAAACCATGTCGTTCAAAAATGCCAACCCCTTTTCAAAGGTGCCCCCCTGGGGGGGCAGTTTTGAACACTTTGAGTTCGTCCATTAAAACAGTAATAAAATATATTTATCAAGCTTATAGTATGTCATATGTATATTCATTTTAAAGGTTACATATGTACCTATTAGTTAAAATTTATAAGAAATCAAAAATTATAAAATAAAAAATTTTATAAGGCTTGAAAGCAAAAAGTGTTTGTAAGGATACATATGTACAATATACCCAAAGTGGGAGGGGTATCATATAGTCGGCCCAGTCCGACCTTACTACTTTCCTTACTGGTTTAAATTTTAATAATCAAATTAAAAATAGAACATATTATATATATATATATATATAATTTTGATAATTAGATTAAAAAATAGATCAGATTTGAAATCAAAAAAAAAAAAGAAAAAATAACTGGACCCAAAATATGTTATATTGAGGTTATGTTTAAATGAGATATTTTAGTGTTTTTTTTTTGAAAATGTTAATGCAGGCATTTTTTATTGAAACTATTATAATCTCAAGAAATTGAAGTTTAGAAAATTAATATTTTCCTATTTTTTTTTTTATTAAAAAATTATTTTTTAATTGCCAATTAATTATTTCCAAAGTATGTTATATTGAGGTTATGTTTAAAAAAAATACACGCTGAGATATTTTAGTGGTTTTTTTGAAAATGTTAATGCAGGCATTTTTTATTGAAACTATTATAACCTCAAGAAATTGAAGTTTAGAAAATTAATATTTTCCTATTTTTTTATTAAAAAATGATTTTTTAATCACCAATTAATTATTTCCTATTTTAACATAGTTTTTTATAGAAAATATATTTTTTACAATATTAGATTCGATATTATTTTTTTTTCAAATTTTAATAATTAGATTAAAAAATAGTTCAGGATAAATAGGTTAGATTTTTATTTTTATGTTTTTGTTGGAATATTTTCTTATTATTTATTTAGATTTAGTGCGCCTCCAAGGTCAAATCAAACGAAGACTGTGATTTCAAATCATCATCTCATCTCATTATTGAAATTAATAGAGTAACAAATTTAATTTGTAGTTAAATTTCATGAAAAGGTTCATTAACACATATTTTGAAATTGAATTTCAGCAGCGATGACTCGGATGTATCACCCTCAGTAGCAGACTTTGCAACACCCAAAACTGTAAGTATAAAAAATAAACTGATAAGTTCACATTCGATAATTTGAAACTTAAGGGAAAAGGAGAAATACTCAATTTCCAATTTTCTTTTTTTTTTTTTTTAAAATAAAGAATATATTTTCAATTAATTAAGAGATGGAAATTAACCAGTTTCAAATTATCGACCGTTGACCATACCCTATGTAGGTAGTGACAATCGAAAAAAAAATCAAGTGAGAAACTCGATGAAAATTTTAATTTTACCTTGAGGAAGTTTCTGAAATAAATTAATATGCGAAAAATTGAAATAAAATCAAGTGTGAAACTTGATGAAAAATGTAACTCCTCCTCAAGGAAGCTTCTGAAATAAATTCATGTACGAAAAATCATGTACCTTGAAAAATGTAACTCCACCTCAAGGAGGCTTCTGAAATAAATTCATGGGTGAAAAATATATATTTAATACTTTGTGTCGTATTATTAATGTTCCTGATTTTTGTATCTTTATATCATTCAATACGTATTAATGAGAAAAATACACCTAAACTTATAATTTTTCTTGTTTTTGTTCTTGCAGAAATCTGGCCGCTTTAATGGATTGCAACAGGAAACTCCCGGTAGTGTGGATTTCAGTGATTTTGGTGAAAATGCTTCATTTTTAAATCATGTCGATTATGTAATGAAGAAATTACCCGCCTCAACGGTGGAACGCATGCAAGGAAAAATCTTCGCCCTACTCTATGAGGAATTGGGCAAACATACGCCAAAGAGAAAAGGCCTTTAAGAAGTCGTCATAATTTTGTTTTTGTCCAAATATATGTAAGA